GTCTGGAAACAGGGGACTGGCGAACGGGGACAAACGAACGGAGACCAGCGATCACGGATTCCGGCGAACGAGCGAACAGGAGCGGGCGAACAGGGACCGGCGAACGGGGACTGGCGAACGGGGGCTGGCGAACGGGGACTGGCGAACGGGGACTGGGGAACGGGGACCGGCGAAAAGGGTCTGGCGAACGGGGACTCCGGCGAACGGGGGCCGGCGAACAGGGACCGGCGAAGAGGGATTCCGATGAACAGGTAGTGTATCGTCTTGGGCCATTTTGGGCCATTTAGGCGTCATCTTGGCGGCCTTGAACGCCGTCCTGGAGGTCGTGAGCCTCGAAATGAGGCCTCAAGACAAATCAAGAGGCTCCACGACGGTCAAGACAAATCAAGAGGCCCCACGACGGCCCAAGAGGTCTTCAAGAGGCCCTCCAGGAGAGCCCGAGGAGACCAACATTATTGATGTCCCGAAGGTTTTTGCATATTTGGGGGCTCTGGCATGTTTGGGTTTCCGACCGCCCAAGGCAGTCCAAGAGGCGTCTCTCGGTCGTTTTGTTGCTCTCTTGGAGCGCTTCAAGGCTGTCTTGGGGCCCCATTTGGGACCCCCTTAGGCGATCTTTGGGTCCTCTTGGGGGTCTCTTGGGCAGATTTGGAGCTATCTTGGAGGCCTCTTGGAGGCTCCTTGGGCTGCATTGGGCGGTCGGAAGCCCGAACAGGTGAGAATCTCAAAATCTTTCAAACACCTGAGGCAAATCAATGGTTTTGGCCCCCTCGAGCTCTTCAGGAATGCCTCTTGGAGACCTCTCGGGCCGTCTCGGGGGCCTCCCGGGCCTTCTTGGGGCCCTCTTGGGCTGTCTTGAGCCGTCTTGAGGCTCTCTTGAGATGCTCTTCAGCTGTCTTGGGCCATCTTGAGCCGTGTTGCCGTCGTCTCGGCTGCTTCGGAAGCCGTTTCGGAGGCCATCCTGGCCGTCTGGGGGCCGAACGGACCACGACACAACCAATTTCAGAACGGGCGGTTTTTTCAGGGGCGCGCCCGTCGAGGGGGGGGGTCCCGCAGAACGCAGCAGAACCTCGCAGACAACAGACAAGCATCAAGTCGGGCCCGTCCCTCTGCAGGAGGAATATTCGAGAATAGCAGAAACATAGTCAGGGGACGATTTTTCGATTATTACTTTTTGACTACTTTCTGGATATGTTTGAATCTTCATTTCGCTTTTCGCCCAAATTCCGCCTGTGGGAGGACATGCCCGACCCAAGACGAGCAGTCGAACACGCCCACTCCGTGCAGGCACGTGGAGGGATTCCGACGATCTGATGCGACCCAATGCTCTCGCGGCGCTGTTACCCGTGTAAGCCCAAGAGTTATCCACGATGTTGGAGTAAACCCTTCCTCCAAGCTCCCTCTTCATAGGCCCTTGCAGCGGTTAATTTCCATTGATGGAACTGCCTCGTTGGAAGACACCCGTTTGAAGACCCTGAAGTATGCCAAAATATTGTCCTCTGGATTCCAACCCAACGGATCAGCCTGAGTATTGCGTCTTAACGATGCAGAATCGTGCCGGAACGCCATCCCTAGGACTCCATTACAGAGAATCAACCTAATTGTTGCACCCGCATAATCCAGAATCCTTCCAAACCATCATTTCTGGTACGTTGATGACGGGAACCCGTGAAACTCTTGCAAATTTTTACGAATGTGCGCGGCGCTAATGCGAGAGCCACATTTTCGAAAATCAGCCGCCCTAAATCCGTGAAACTCTTTCAACTGTTTGAAACGTGTGTGCGCGGCGCTAAGGCGAGAGCCACATTTTGAACATCACTTGCCCTCAATATGTGAAACTTTTGCTAGTTGTTGAAACGAATGTGTGCGGCGCTAAGACGAGAGCCACATTTTGAAAACCACTCGCCCTCAATCCGTGAAGCTCTTGCGAATTGCGAATTCTTGAAACGAATGTGCGCCGCGCTAAGGCGAGAGCCACATTTTGAAAACCACTCGCCCTCAATCCGTGAAGCTCTTGCATTTTTAAAACCAATGTGCGCCGCGCTAAGGCGAGAGCCACATTTTGAAAACCACCCGCCTTCAATTCGTAAAGCTCTTGCAACTTTTCAAAAACGAATATGCGCCGTGCTGAGGCGAGAGCCACATTTCGAAAGCCACCCCTCCTCCATCTGTAAAACTGTTGTCAATGTTTAAGCTTCAGAGTCATACATGGTGAGGAAGTCTCAGGCGAAACGCCCGGCCCGCCCTAAAAACTGGCCTCGGGGTGCGACAGGGAGAAGTTATTTATAAGGAAGGGGGGATGGAGGAGGAGGAGGAGGAGGAGGAGGAGGAGGAGGAGGAGGAGGAGCAGGAGGAGCAGGAGGAGCAGGAGGAGCAGGAGGAGCAGGAGGAGCAGGAGGAGGCGGAAGGATGAGGAGGATTTGCGGAGTTAGGCGGAGGTCGTAGGAGGAGGAGAGTATGGCGGAGATGAGGAGGATCGTATTGCTTGAGGCTGATGAGTAGGATGAGGTAGGAGGAGGCAGGTATGATGTATGCTGACGGCGGAGTAGAGAGGAGGAGGGGCGAGGAGGATGGAGGCAGTCGTGCGGCAGGCGGTATGAGTTGGGGGGGGTGAGGGTGGATTGCATCGAGGAGTATCTGGTTGGAGGGGAGGATTAGGATGAGGATGAGGAGAGGCGCATTAGGCAGGAGGCGAGGAGGAGGCGGACGCAGCGGATTCGGCTGCTGGTCGTACGGAGGTGCGGCGGAGTCGGCGGTGAGGGGTAGGATGAGGCGTCGGGGGGGAGCGGGGGAGGCGAGTAGGGAGGAGCCAGGCTGATTCGCGTAGGCGGCGGAAGGCGGCGGCGCGGAGGAGGAGGAGGAGGAGGAGGAGGAGGAGAAGGAGGAGGAGGAGGGGTCTGGGAACAGATTTGTAGCGGATTGCGGGGTCTTTAGCGTAATTATGTTTGTGTGGTGCCGACGCTGTGCTGTGCGGGCGTTCCAGGTTGACCGCCCCTGTTGGCACGGAGTCGACCGCTGTCGAGCCATCTGCGCTGTCGGAAAACCGTTGTGGTTCATGGTTCAGTGGTAAACGATCCGCGCGCTGTCAGAAGCCAACGCGCCGACGTCGCCACGACGTGAGCTTGCCGTGGGCCGATGCCCTTCCCTCCACTGCGCCCCCCCTCGTCGATCGACATGGCTGGATCCGCTCCCGATTCTTCGCCGGAGCGCACCCCGGGACGGGCTCCAGGCCAGGGAGCAGCATGGTCGAGGTTTTGGCATCGAGGTTCGAGGATCGAGGATCGAGGTTTTGGGATCCAGGCTCGAGGATCGATGTTCCATGATCGAGGACCGAGGTGCGAGGATCGAGGTTTGGTACGATCGAGATGGGTTCGGACAGACTTGTTCTTTACGATGCGACGAGGGGGGTGGTCGGCATCTCCTCGTCGGGCTTCGTGCAGGGCCAGGCCGCCCAAAAGTGGGGTCCGAGCGGATTTGGTCGGAGGGCCACGCCGCATCGCCCATTCGCTGATGCGTCCGCGATGCGGCGCGATCCAGAGCTCGATTTTCGCCATCCCTCCTCCCTCCTCCTCCCTCCTCCTCCTCCTCCTCCCTCCTCCTCCTCCTCCTTCCTCCTCCTCCTCCTCCTCCCTCCTCCTCCTCCTCCTCCTTCCTCCTCCTCCTCCTCCTCCTCCTCCTCCTCCTCCTCCCTCCTCCTCCTCCTCCTCCTCCTCCTTCCTCCTCCTCCCAGAGCGTCACCCATGCATCGGCTCGGCGATGCGTTGCGATCTCCTGGCTCACTTCTCCTCTGGCGCCGTCCGGGCGGCCTTCGTAAGAGCATAGTCCTTCGGCAGGAAGGCCCTCGGTGCGGGCCCACGTGGCGTCCCCCGGCGCACTGGCCTGCGCTTCTGGCCTTGGCCCCCGCGCGGCCCCCCCTGAAAGCTGCGACCGCTCGTGAACCCCACCCCTGCAGGTTCGAAGGACGCCGGGGTATCGGGCGCCCCCGCCAGGGTTCACTTGTCTGAGTTCGGAGCCCTGGCCGGTTTCTCAGAAGCATGACCTGCATGGGGCCCCTCAGGCACGGGGGTCCTCCCTCAGATGTAGGGCCCCCAGGATGATTATAGGGCCCTCCCAGATATCGGGCCGCCGCGAGTGCAGGCCCCCCCCCTCAGGCCAGATGTAAGCACCCCTTCTCATCAGATCTGGCCCCCCCCCCCCAGGTGAAGAGAGGCCCGCCAGATACGGGGCCCTCCCAGATGTAGGGCCCGCCAGTGATGCGGCAGGCTTCGCACGTGGTCGCCTGTGAGGGCCGCGCGCCACAGGCCGCTCGGACCCAGGGCCACTCCTCCCTGCGTAGGGACCATCTTCAGGAGGGAACAAACCACACAGACACAATTCATCGTCGATTCCCCAGAAAACATGGGAAAATATGGGAAACGGGGGGGACAACAAAAACCAAGAAAATATTGGAAAATATGGAGGATCCTGTTATTTGTGTCTGTTTATTTGTGTGTCCCTGGGCCCCTTCACATCTGTGCTCCCCCAGGTCGGCCGCCTCCTCCCCAGAGGTCTGGAGGGCGGGGCCCGTGGACATGTACAGCGGCTACGCCCAGCGGGCGCTGTACCTGCTCCAGCCGGGGGCTGCCAGAGGTGCCCCTGGCCCGAGGTGCCCCCCAGGGTCTCCAGGGAGGCCCCCGCGGCCTCCAGGCACCCCTCGCGAGGCCCAGGAGGCCCAAAGGGCTCCAGGTTCGAGCGAAAAGCCTGGGGGGGGGGGACCTTCTGCCAGGGGCACCTTGAGCAATCCCCGGTCCAGAACGAGCCCATGCGAGGAAATGAATACGGCACAGCCACGAGCTCTCGGAGGTCCGCGCGGCTTTCTCGGATCGGCGCCGGGGCCCCCCTCCGTGGCGCGCGGAGGGCGCCAGGGGGGGTGCGGGAGGCGCCGCCAGGGGAGACCGGCGCCGATCCGCGAAGTCCGCGCGGTCCTCCGAACGTTTCTGCCTGTGGCGCTTCTTGTTCCTCTACCCATGCTCTTCGACTCTGCGGTCGAGGAGTCCCTCCAGAACCTGGCGGACGCGCGCGACGACCAGGGGGCCAAAGACCCCAGCGACGCCGCTGGCGAGTCCGAGATGGTGGTGCTCCGGAAGAGGATTCTTTGCGATCGAAATGGGCAACAGTTCTTGCCCATTTAGACAGGACTCGCTGCCAGTGTCGCCGCGGACGTTGTCGATTAGAGGGAAGAAGTCGCCAGCGCAACGGCGGCCGCTTTTGGTTTTACACAGCAAATGTGCTATTGGGCGTCCTGCCCATCTTTTCTGTCCCCATTTCGGACGTGCCAGAGGATGGACGAGGTTCGCGAGAGTGAACGGCGGCGCACGGTCATGGAGCTCCTGTATCTGAAGGTGTGCGCTAGATTCGTGAAGCTGCAGGTCCCTCTCGTGAAGCCGATGCCGGCCTCTGGAGGCGTCGTGCAGCTCGGCTCCGCGAACCTCAAGGTGCTCACCGATGAGCTCTACTCCAAGGATGCCCTGGCCCTGGTCCGTGAGCACCTGATGCAGTTCGCAGGGCCAGGCGACGTGACGTGGACTTCCCCCATGGGCAGCTGGGTGATGATCCCACTTCTCCAGGCGGGCCAGGTGTACGCCATCTCGGCGATGTTCGGGTATTACCTCAGGCAGATGGACGCGAGGTATCAGCTGGAGAAGCTCGTCGGGGCGGCTAGCGGCGACACTTCTGGCTCGGACGAGGAGGACAGGACGCTGAAGGAGTACATCTCTACCTTCGGCGAGGCGGAGATGAAGCGCATGACGAACATAGCATCCGTGGAGGGTCGGTTGGCCCTGGAGGCTCAGGTCGCTGCCCTGTTCGGGGACCTCAGGGTCTTGAAGGAAAAGTTCGCCGCTGCGATCGGACCAGTGTTCAGTGAAGAGGAGGCCATCGGGATGAACCCCCCCGAGATGCTCTGGTTGACCTGGGGTTGGGATCCACGTGGGCCTGACCCCACTTCCCCTTCCTCCGCGGACCGGGGTTCGGGAGCTGCTGTGTGGCCGGCCCAGGTTCGCGACTCGGCCTTGGCTGCCTTTGGTCAGCGCCGAGCAGGGTTACAGCTGGCACGAGGATGAAGAACAGCCTTGGCCTTGCAGGGGTACCCTGCGCTCTTCGTGCTTTTTCGCTTTCCACCCTGTAGCTGTTCCTCGTTTTGGGTATCGCCTTGGGGCCTTGGGCCTTGGGGGCTGGGATTCATGCCTTTGCCCCACGCTTTTGAATGATAGCGGACGATCATCAGACACGAGGCGTTTTCAGAAATGATGTTAGCCAGCGTGGATCCCTAGCAGTGTATTCTAGCGTACCATGTGGCGCGATCTATGTGGTGCAATCTCTATGGTGCTATAGATATGTGCTGTGAGCTGTGTGGGAGGTAATCTGTATGATGCAGTATGTGTGCTGTATTTTATTTCTGTAAGTTATGTGGTGCAATCTATGTGGTGTAGGTTATGCGGCACATTCTATATGGTGTAATCTAGATGGTGCAGCTTTGCAGTGCAATGCAATGCGATTGCAACCCACTGTTGGGGTCACCGATTGTAAAGCCGTGCAATGCAATGCGATTGCCAAGCAGTGCGATTGCAGTGCAACGGCGGAAAGCAGTGCAGAGTAACGCTTTGCCATGCAGAGCAACGAAGAGCAAAGCAAAGCAATACAAAGGAGTGCCAAACAATGCAGACAAGTGCAAAGCGATGCAGAGCAGTGCGACGTAATGCGACGGGGGCGGCGACGAGGCGGCGGGCGGCGACGAGGCGGCGACGGCGGCCACACGGCGGCCAGAGCGGCCCGCAGGCCCAGGCGACGGGCGCCGACGGGCGGCGACAGGCGGCGGTTCGACGCGGCGGCGAATGCGGCCACAAGGCGGCCAGAGCGGCCTGGAGGGTTTCTCCGAAGGGCTTAGGTGACCCGTCCCCCCCCCTCCCCCTCCCCCTCCTCCCTCTCCTCCTCCTCCTCCTCCTCCTCCCCTCCTCCCTCCTCTCCTCCTCTCCTCCTCCTCTCCTCCTCCTCCTCCTCCTCCTCTCCTCCCTCTCTCCCTCCTCCTCCTTCCTCCTCCCTCCTCCTCCTCCTCCTCCTCCTCCTCTCTCCTCTGCTCCTCCTCCTCCTCCTCCTCCTCCTCCTCCCTCCTCCCCTCGCCTCTCCTCCTCCTCCTCCCTCCTCCTCCTCCTCCTCCTCCCTCCTCCTCCTCCTCCTCCCCCCCCCCCCTCCTCCCTGTCCTCCTCCTCCTACCTCCTCCTCCTCCTCCTCCTCCTCCTCCTCCTCCTCCTCCTCCTCCTCCTCCTCCTCCTCCTCCTCCTCCTCCTCCTCCTCCTCGGGTCGCCTACGGCCCCAGGGGAAACCGTGCACGCAGCCCTACTTGCTCAGAAAAGATGTAAGAACACAGAATTTGAAAACGATTTCCCCGAACAACCTCATTTCAAAGTATTATCACACTTTTGAGTGCATATTCGACATCTTTCCAATGGCCAGCGGGGTGAACTCCTCTCAACCGATAAATCATTATTAAATCATTGCCTGTCTGATTCCTCGCCCCGTCTAATTCTTGTGGCCGTGCTCCGACTGCAGCGCGCCCCCGAGGCCAGCGAGCGGGCGACGAAGGCCATCCAGAACGGCGAGGTGGAGGTCCTCCGGCTCGCGAGCAGCGACCTGCAGAGGCTCGTGCTGGAGTCCGTTGCCTTCGGCTCGCTGCTGAGCGACGCCGAAAAGCAGGCGCGCCGAGGGGGGAAGTGAGTGGAGACTGTTCTTTTGGGTTCCGGCGATGACCCGAGTTATATCCCGCCCGCCCCCCCCAGATAGCCTGACCTTGTCGGTTGCGCAGGTCCGAAGCGGAACGCTGTGCCGGTGCGCGCGGGCATACTCGGGGGCGGAAAAGAGGGGGGTGATGACTAGGGGGGGGTGACTATCATGGCGTGGCCCATGATATCTCCCCAGTTTTCATGGCGCCTCTTCTCACTTCAATACGTCCCTGGCTCCCCCCCTGGGCCGCGCACATCCCGCCAGTCATGATTTGCACCCCCCCTCTTGGAGCCCCCCCCTCTTGGCCGCTCCCGACATACGCAGGGCTGCCCAAAGCGAAAAGGTGTTTTTGGAGTTCAGCGGGCACCTCCCCCCCCATGCCAGATGGCCCGGGTCATCGCCGAGAAGCGGGACTGATCTCGAGGGGGCAGGCCTCCTCGGAAGGCGGCGGGGCTCCCCACGCACCCTCTGGCCTTCTGAGGAGCCTTCTGTGGCTTCGGAGAAGGCTCAGGAAGCCTCTCAGAAGGCAAGAGGCCTCCTGAGCCTTCTGAGAAGGCCCGCCCCCACTCTGCTCTCCCCCCTGGGCGCGCCGCCAACCGGCAGGAGGTGAGGCGGCGGAGGCTCCGAGGCTGTGATCTTTTTGTATTCGCAGCCTTGGAAAGCGATCTTCCTGGAACTTGGGAGGCGGTGGATATAGACATATTCGGCCCCTCAGGGCCCCCAGAGTACCGCTCTCTGGTGTTCAGGACATCGTTTCTCCAGGCGTCGGATACGGATCAATCCCCGCCTTCCATAGGTGTAAGTGTTTTTTTTTTTTTTTTTGTGTGTGTGTGTGTGTATGTGTGTGTGTGTGTGTGTGTGTGTGTGTGTGTGTGTGTGAGTGTGTGTGTGTGTGTGTGTGTGTGCGTGTGTGTGTGCGCGTGTGTGTGTGTGTGTGTGTGTGTGTGTGTGTGCGTGTTTGTCGTCAGCACAGCCCAGAGCACCGACGCCAGCACCTTCGCCAGCACAGCCAGGAGCACCGACGCCAGCATCCTCGCCAGTATCCTCGCGGGCACAGCCGGGGAAGCCGACGCCAGCATCCTCGCCTGCACAGCCAGGAGCACTGACGCCAGTTCCCCTTGCCAGCACAGCCGAGAGCACCGACGCCAGCATCCTCGCCAGCGCAGTCAGGAGCACCGACGCCAGCCTCGCCAGCACAGCCTGGAGCACCGACGCCAGCATCCTCGACAGCACAGCCAGGAGCACCGACGCCAGCATTTTCGCCCTTCACAGCCAGGAGCACCGACGTCAGCATCTTCGCGGTCACAGACAAGAGCACCTACGCCAGCATCCTCGCCAGCGCAGTCAGGAGCACCGACGCCAGCCTCGCCAGCACAGCCAGGAACACCTACGCCAGCATTGTCGCCAGCACAGCCGAGAGCACCGACGCCAGCATCCTCGCCAGCACAGCCAAGAGCACCGCGCCAGCATCCTCACCAGCACAGGTGAGAGCACCGACGCCAGAATCCTCGCCAGCACAGCTGAGAGCGCTGACGCCAGTGTCCTCGCCAGAGCAGCTGGGAACAGCGACGCCAGCATCCCTGCCGACACAGCTTGGAGAACCGACGCCAGCATCCTCGCCAGCTCATCCAGGGGCATCGACGTCAGCATCCTCATTTGCACAGCCGACAGCCGGGAGCACCGACCATCACCAGCACCACCGCCGACCATGAACACCAACCGGGCATCCACGGACCAGCAGCGGCACCGACCACGGAGGGTCAGCAGCAGCACCGACCATCAGTGTCGACCGAGCATCCACCAACCACGTAGCAAGCATCCAACGAGATGGTCGACCAGGTCGACAGCGACCACCGACGCCAGCATCCTCACCAGCACAGCTGGGAACCCCGACGCCAGCATCCCCGCCAGCACAGCCGGGAGCACCGACGCCAACATGGTCGCCTGCAGTGGCAGCAAACGACGATGCGATATTTTGAATCAAGACGTTATCAACTACAGTCTGGCAAAAAAGTACCCGAGAGCTCGCAGTGGTAGCAGACATTGTGGCGTCAGCTGGATACCAGACGTCTCCAGCTACAAACTGGAAACTGAGTGCGCGAGAAGACCCAAAAGTTGAAGCAGACGATGAGGCGAGAGCTGGATCCCATACGTCATCAGCCGTAGGCTTTGGCCAGCGTGTAAGAGAACTTCCAATAGTGGCAGCACACGATGGTGGAATAGTTGGAGTCCAGACGTCTTCAGCTACGGTCTGGGACTAGAGTGCGCGAGAAGAGCCAGCAGTGAAACCAGTCAGTATGGCGAGAGCGGGGTCCAGGCGTCACCAGCTACAAGCTGGAACCAGAATGCTCGAGAAGACTCAGCAGTGGACGCAGGACGATCGGGCGAGCGGTGGTTCCCATATGTCATCAGCTACATGTTGGAACCACCGCGTACGAAAAGGGTCTGCAGTGTCAGCAGACGACGGTGCAGACGTCACCAGCCATAGTCTGGGACCAGAGTGCGCGAGAAGAGCCGTCAGTGGTGGCGCGCAAAGGGGCAGGAGCTGGATGCAACACAACTACATATTGGAGCCAGAGTGCGCGAGAAGAGCCGACTGTCTGAATACGAGTTCCCCAGCGAGGATCTCGACATGGCCAACGAAGATTCCGATTTAGTAGTGTAGTTTAAGAAGGCAGTGTGGGGTCGTGAGCCCTCGATTGACAATTGTGATTCAACAAGGCAGCGTGTAGTCGTGTGCCCTCTCTCCCTCTCTGTCCTTGTCGGCCCCTCCGGCTCTCCAGAGGGGCCCAGGTCCTGCCCAGGTGGCCTCTGGCCCCTGGAGCTCGCTGGTTTTGGGGGTGTCCTGGGATTCGCCTGGGGCTCCCTGCTCCTCCCGGCGGCTCCTCGTCTGCGTGGGCCTTCCCGCGCCCCCGCGGGGCGGGTCCGGGGTGTTCCACCTTTGAAATTCACTGCGCATACTGGCGTACCTGCCCTGGCATCCTCCTGTCTTTGTTATGTATAATGTATGTGCGTGTATATATCTACGTAGGCACACATGCACATTCATACATTATATGTATATGTATATATATATACATATATATATATATTTATATATACACGTATATGTATATGTATATGTATATGTATATGTATATGTATATGTATATGTATATGTATATGTACATGTACATGTATATGTATATGTATATGTATATGTATATGTATATGTATATGTATATGTATATGTATATGTATATGTATATGTATATGTATATGTATATGTATATGTATATGTATATGTATATATATATATATGTATATCCGACCCCTTCCCCAGGGGTATTTTTTTTAGTTTTGCGCCTCAGATCCGTTTTCTAAGGGTCCTGGGGCCCCGGAGCGGGCCCCAGAGGCCGAAATCGTCAGAGATTTGCGTGGCCG